GTGATAAGGTCCGTAGTTACTGTCAGGAGGCACTTTTATAGATGTTCAATGATATTTTAGAGACTTTCTTCTATCATATAGGAATCCATAAATTAGTGAGCCAAACTATAGAGTCATTACAATTCCCGACAGCCTCTTCATTTTCTTCCAAGTGCCTTCTATCTTTCTTTCATAGACTCATTGAAATGGAAGAGACCTCATAACAGATTGGCATAATTGGCTGGCAGGGGCTGAGTTTTATTTACATAGGGCTTTTCCATAAACCAGGGTGAAGGGAGAAGATCATTTCCCCAAATATGGCTTAGATGCCACTGTGTCCCCCATCTTTATTATGCTCCCATCACCTCTCCTCTCCCCATCCGTGTCTGAGCACAATTCAGGATTTAACTCTTCTTGCTGTATTTCTGATTTCTGGCGACCTAAGGCCAGGGGTTTTCTTAGCAAGATTTGTTCAAAGGGAGTTTACTTAGGAAGGGTGTCTTCCTCTGAGGCTGAGAGACTGTGACTTCCCCAAGGTCACCCAGTGGGTTTTCATGGCTGAGCGGATATTTGAACCCTAGTCTCTAGAGGCATAGTCCTACCTTCAAACCACTGCACCATATTGGCTCTCATTCAGCAATTAATACGGCAGAGATATTAGCAAGAGGTGTTTCTTTGTATCCTTATTCTCATATATCAAGGCTTTAAAAAACCTGGAGACAGGAGATCATTTTGCATCATACAGAACAACATGACTGTGACACTGAATTGTGATCAAAGACTGAATCCAAATCTCAAGAGTTTAAAACTGCAGGTTCAACTGATGTATGTGTTTGTACATTAGCACACACACTCGGCTTGTGTTTAATACAGCCTTTATCAACTTAATGCCCTCCAAATAAGTTGGACTATATCCCCCATCATCCCCAGCCAGGATAGCATAGGGTATAATAGCTTGGGATAATGAGAATTTTAAATTAGTAGTATGCCTGGTGGGTGCCCAAATAGGAGAGAATGGGTTAATACTGATGTTCCTGTTTATTTGAATTTGAGGACAAATCAATGCATAATGACTATTTCTTAGTCTAACTTACTTCAAAGGGTTGTTATGAAAATACAGTGACTGTGGGAAAACGTTAGATTTGTTAGCCATCTTGAGAGTGTTTGTGTTAAAAGGCAAAATAAAAATAGCTAAACCAAATTATTTGGTTAAATGATATTCTCTTGTAATGCTACTTAAAAGTGCTGGTCTGTGGGCTATTGGCTGCTTGTCCAGAGCAAGTTTCCAGAAAAGAAAGAAACAGTTGTGGTCAATGGGCACAAATATGATGCTCATCCCTGGCACATTGGGGAAAAGCCTGCTAGTCCTCCATATCAGATAGCTTACGAAAGTGTAGCTTTCTACTGCACAAATTTCACAGAAAACACTTTTTTTGGACCAGATTTGTATATGTGGGTGGTTTTTTCTTCTTCAGTATCACTGAAAAAATTCTCTACCTATATGAAAAGAGGGCAGTCTAGTAAACCCTGAGTATGTAACCTTTAGAATTATGCATAACTCTTTGTCTGGGACCTATAAAAAGAATGAAATTTTTTGTTGTTTAAAAGCAGATGGAAGCAGAAGATTATCAGGGGGAAATGGCTCTGTTTTGTATTTCTTATCTTGTGTTTTTTTAATTAAATGACATTCAAGCCTCTCTGATATTATCCTTTTTTCAAAAGCAGCAGCGCATTAGAGAACTGTCTTCAGTTTGTTCAGCCTCATTTGACTGATAGTTACAGACTCTTCAGTATTTTTGAAAATAATGTACCACATACAGTAACATAATTTTCTTTCTGCTGTGGGTATTTCTAATGTGCCAAGTCTCAAAGAAAAAATTGCCTTTAAAAGTTTATTTATCTCACAAGATGTTGTCTGAGTTGAGATCCTTCAGGAAGCCTTATCCTGAAATGGAAATCAAAATTGTTATACTCCTTTGTTTATGGCTATCTCAGTCCCTCATGTCAGAGTTAAATCCACCATAAAATTGTTGATTTGTTATCTGAATGCTGTTTAAATACCTTAAAAGCAGCTAATCCCATCTGATCCTGGAAACTAAGCAGGCTTAGCCCTGGTTAGTACTTGGATGGGAGACTGCCAATGAATAGCAGGTGCAGTAGGTTATATTTCAGAAAAAGGAACTGGCAAAACCACCTGTAAGTATTCCTTTCCTAAAGGAACCCTATGAAATTTACGGGGTCACCATAGGTAGACAGGTGACTTGAAGGCATATATACACGCAGTTATCTGAATAGGGGAATGAGAGATACAAATAGTGGCTTGCAAATGTTTTACTAACATGCCAGTACCCATGCTAGCAATATATGGTGG